GGGTAGGGGCGGCTCCGCCCCCCACAGGCGCCTCCCCCAGCAAGGGGAGGAGAGTCAGTTACAAATGAAGTAAGCAGAGGTTGAGCTGTGGCATTTATTAAATCTGTTTTGGCCAAAATAAATAATTCTTCACACACATTCTTCAGCAAAACATGAGAAACGGGAGGGGAGGAGCAGGTGCAAAGTTCTCAGGAGTAATACTGCGCTGACCGTGGGGTGCTGGGCAGGGCAGGGGAGAGATTAAGGCATTAAGGCACAGGTGAGGGGGCCTCTGAGGCCCCAGGGGGAGGAGTGCTCTGCAGCCCTCCCCACTCAGTGCGGCAAGTGAGTGGTTGGTGCAAGGGGGTCACGTGGGAACCCCCTCTTTGCAGGTGTGAAGGGCCTCCATCTGCTCACTCCGCAGCCGCAGACTGAGAGAGGCCGTGCATCTGGTCTCAGTCAGCCCCGGGGCCCCTACTCATGGGGCAGGGAAACTGGGGTGGGGGGCCCGACCCTCAGCACCAGGACCCCAAGGGGCTGGGGAAGGCTGAGTGGAGGCTCTCAGCAAGGGGGCAGGCCCGGCGGGTGCTGCGGGGACGCGGGCTCAGCGGGAGAGGGGCCGGCCGGCGCGCGCATGCGCAGGGCGTCGGGTGGGAAGGCGATGTTGGTGCAGAAGAGACCTAGCAGCAGCTGACGCTGGCACTCCTCCCACTTGGCCAGCGCGTCCCCCAGTGAGAGGTTGTTGCGCATCCAGCCCGGCAGCGCGTCGCTGTAGGAGGCGCAGGACAGCGGCACAGAGGGCAGCGACTGGGCACGGCGCAGCTCCATCTGCTCCGACAGTCTGCAAGCCGGGAGGGAACCAGAGGGGGCACTTCAGTGTTGGCCACCGAGGCGCCGGGCCCTGGGCCCTGGGCCCTGGGCCCTGGAGGGAGGGCACGGCAATCGGGGCAGTTCACCTGGAAGACAGGTGGCTGCCCAGCTTCCTCTTGGCGCGCATCATCAGGTACTGGCAGATGCTGCCTGTCTGCTCCTTCATCCACCGGATGTCCTCGGGGACGTCAGGCAGCCACTCCAGCAAGCTGCGGAGGTGGGAAGCACCCTCAGGGGCTACTCCAGGGCGTCACACCCACCCGCGAGGCCCTGCCTTTCCCGGGGTGACCACCACTCAAGCATGATCCCAACACCCTTTCCGCCCCCCACGCCCAGCCTTCCGCACCGGATGGTGAAGGACACGGCGCTCTCCAGCGGCAGAGTGTAGGGCACCATCATGGCGGGGGGCAGCACCCCCGGGGAGACGTTTGGGGGGGG